TATATATATATATATGTTATGTGTGACTTATACGATCATTAGTTATGCCATTTGCAGTACATATCACACAAACTCATTTACTAGCACATATCACATGAATTAAATTATCAATAAGTATCTGGTTTGCATGAAATTTTTGCCATAATTGAAGAACAGACAAAGATAAGAACAAAATGCAAAAATTTCAAGTCATACGGAAAAATCAATGTTTAATTTGGTTTTTATCCAGATAACATCATTGAGAACATGCACAAACGTAATAGCCGGAAGAGTAATTGTCCCATAAATATTAACATATTCCGCTTAGTCATTTTAAATTCTTTCGTAAGCTAATAATGGCTTTAATCAAATTAACCTATCAGTTGCATTTGTACAGTATGTCTTGAAGATGACACTTACGAATCATTCCGTAAATCTGGTTTCAAAAAAATAAATCAATAAATACATTGAAATATTACGTAAGAGCGAATTCTCAATTTTGCAAAATGAAATTTAAAATAAAAAATAACTGTGGCGAAAGTATCATACGTAATTAATTTATATTATCTTATGAAATGACATATATGAATTACTAATTTGAAATTTCGATTTTACAATAAATATTTTTTGCATTATAAATATGCGTATTGTAAATACTGCCATAATTTTATGCAAATTATGCAGACGCAACACATTGCGAATATTTTATGGATAACATATTCAAATGTGATTTAATTTAGTTTGAAAATTTTTTATTTTTGCTTCCTTTTTTATAAAAATAAAACTAACCATATGAAATATTTGAAAGTGTTGTTCAGGCTTATTTTTATTAATTAAATGATATTTTTAATGATCATTCTAGTTATTTTTGATGATTTTTCAAGTAATATTTGTGTATTCCTATATAATTCCGAAATATATTGCTCACATATTTTGATACATTAAATTTCGTCGGAAAAATTTACTCTTTAAATTTTCATGCTTTTGAAAAATTTTTGTTTCAAATTTTAATTTTGGAAAAACTTTTCTCCTTTAATTTATTATTATCTATTTTGGAAATTATTTTCATATACTACAAATTTTTCAGAATAGATAGTGCAAACTGCCATGTTGTCAACAAACGATTCATGCTTTGAGGTAAGATTCATTAATTAACGCTTTATAATACAAAAGCTCTGCTGTATACACACGTCATTATCGTCATCGTTCATTATAATTAATTGTTGTGGGATCTGTCTGTCCGTCCGTCCGTCTATGTCTGTGCGTGTGTATGTGTGTGGACGAAGAAGAAAGCAATGATTACGAAATTGACTAAAAGATGTAGTGTAAAGCAGACATGGTTTGTTAATGAGGCGTTAATGACAAGCGCATTTGGCTTCTGTAAGCAGTGAAACGGTGTAAACAAAACCATACACAATTTCTTCCTCTTTTCCTGTTTATCGTTCTCCCCGGTACCATTCTTCAGTTCGTCCGGATATTTACTCCATCTGGTCTTAGTTTATTCCCCTTTGATTAGTCCCTGGCTTGGATCCTCATCTGTTTTATGCAAGGCAAAGTAGCACTAGCGCTTATTGATGTGTTAAGCTTGGCTGGCTTAGAAATTGTAAACAGTTATCCAGTAGTACGACAATATATAATGCTTCATCTTTTATAATCAGTAAAAAAGGCGCAAAGAAAATTCTAATAAAATTTTAAATTTATAAAAAAGGTTGTAACATTTTTTTGGTTAAATTTCAATGATGCAATTTTATGTTTATCATTACAAAGAAAAATTTGCAATTGCTTTAGAACTATTTTAACTAAATAATAGCTAATTTATATGTTATTTGCATACTATAAATTCGATAAAAAAAAAGCATTTTTAAAAATGTGTTTTCCTTACGGAAACGCAACATTCCAAGGATTTTCTCTATAAATCATCATTGAATATTTCCGCATAGCGCAATAGCAACAACAACAAAAAAGAAAAAGTTTTGGATGAATTTTTGCTAAATTACTTGGAATTTTTGAAATCCTTCAATAAACAGAAAAAAAAATTTTTTTTAAAAGGATGTTTTTGAATTTTAAATTGTGTAAAAATTATGTCATTTTACTGGAATATTTTACCGGAACTCTTTCTTCCTAACAATGTTTTTGTTTATTTGTTGTGCATTCACCTATTTTTGATCATATATGTATGCTATTATGTTAATGTTTAGCTACAAATTTGTTGCTGAATTTTCGTCATGCGAAAATATTACAATGAAAAAGTTATTTCGTGCGCATTTGCTTCATTTCTATTAAGCCTAACCGGTATTATCTGATATCTGTTATCAACTTCAGATCATTTGCATGATAATGATTATTATGGACCGATGACAATATCACAATTTATCATTTGAAAAATTTCCGTCTCTATTAATTAGAAATTTTATTTACACATATGATTATATAGTATAATGCTGATA